GGGAGAGGTGTGCACATCACACACACCCCTTCATTATGACAAATAATGGCAGCCCTACCAGAAAATTTTTGTCCTACCAGCCACAAAATCCTGCATCATCATAAACCTGCCTGGTTTGGGCTGCAGTGTGCCACCAGCAGAGAGGTGAAGCACTGCTTGGCAGTTATGGGTGGATCTTTCTCTAGAAACAGGTTCTTTGGGTGACCTCCTACCTTTTGCACTATGGGAGTGGGCTTGGTTTGTTCTTCAGTGCTGCTGTGTTTTGGGAAACCAGAGCAAAGCTTATTGTTATCATTTTTAAATGTACAAAATGCTGTCACGCAGAGTTAACCAACCCTGCCACCAATGGAAACTGCACTGTCTGCTTTGGTGACTAGCGCAGCTATGGGTACCCAGCACAAAGACCCCCCCCAAATCCTCTGTGAGTTGAAGATAATAGGGGAGCAGTATCTTGCTGTGTCAAGTATACAAGGTAAGACTTCTTCCCAGCATTCTCCAGGCAAGGGGTTGTCTCACGATTCATGATAGGTTTCGGAGGAGGCAGGAGCAGTGTGCATCTCACTCAGCGGTTCCAAGACCTGTGTAGAGCAGCCATAAAAGGCAGTTTGAGGACGTGAGGATTCGCCAATACTTCCACCGTTCCCCCCAAAGTCCCTTTCTGACTCTGCGAGAGTTAATTCCCAGGGCTGCGAGACCCTCATGGACGAATGTGTTGGGAGACCACAGTGGAGGTGGGGTATAAATCCAGTCTCCTCCCCCATTCCTAATCTTCATGATTAATTGGGGGGGAACCAGGGAAAAAGCAAACAGAAGGTAGCTTGGTCACTGGAATGTATTGATTGCTTCAGAAGACAGGTAAAGAAAAGTCTGGTGTTGTATGGCAAGGCAAATAGGACTATTAAAGGAAACCCAAAGTGGGACATGGTCATTTGGGTCAGACTTCTCAGGAACTCCCCATCCTCTTCTTCTCCTCCTCCTCCTCTTCCATCAGAGAGCTGCACTGATGGAAGAGGCAGAAAGGGAAATTTTGGCTCCCTCCCTACTGCAGCCTCTTGATTTACAAAGCTGCTGCTCCATGCGGGTTCTGCAATCCAGAGGAATACGGGAAAGATATGTTACTATCAGTTCCTTCCACTGATGGCTTGTTGAACCCAGCCCGGATCCCTCTCTTTGTCCCTCCCCCATCCCCCAAGTTCTCGGCACTTCACTATACTAAGTCAAGCCAACATTTGTTGACTCTTGCTACTATTGTGAAACCCTGGGACCACAGAGTCTTGCGCCCATTCCGGTGTGGAGCTCTGAGTGCTTTACAGTTTCCAGGATGGGTTTGTTCCATTATTAAAACGGGACAATAATTGCTTGGATCTTGATATTCTCTGAGCTGCAGAACTAACACGTGTGCTGTTATTTGCAGGCGTTTTTTCCAAGAAAGGAGGAAGATGGAAAGTAATGCCGTCCTTTTGGAATCAAAATCCTCGCCCATCAACCTTCTGAACGAAATGCACCAGCTGCGTCTCCTGGGCCACCTCTGCGATGTGACTGTGAGTGTGGAGTATCAAGGCGTCAGGGCCGAGTTTGTGGCTCACAAGGCGGTGCTGGCCGCAACCAGCAAGTTTTTCAAAGAGGTGTTTCTGAACGAAAAGAGCATGGAAGGTCCAAAGACAAACGTCTTCTTGGATGAGGTCCAGGTAGCTGACTTTGCGTCTTTTCTTGAGTTTGTCTATACTGCCAGGGTGGAAGTCGAAGAAGATCGGGTGCAGCGCATGCTGGAAATAGCCGAGAAGCTCAAGTGCTTGGACTTATCGGAGACCTGCTTTCAGCTCAAGAAGCAGATGCTCGAATCGGTGTTGTTGGAGCTGCAGAACTTTTCCGAGTCGCAGGATGCTGAAGAGGACAGTGGAGCCCAACCGAGCAGTTTACTCGCGGCCAAAGCGATTCTCGAAGCGCAAGGTGATGGCATGGACTGTTTTGCAAGCTCGCCCCTTGGAAGGCCGAGGGACGGAGAAGGCCTCGAGGCACCTGCTGCGAAACTCAAGGAGAAGTCAGACCAGAAGAAAGAAGCCCTGAAGACACCCTGTGCCAAAATCAGGAGGGCCAGCGGAAGGCTGGCCGGCAGGAAAGTGTTTGTGGAAATTCCCAAGAAAAAATACACCCGGCGCCTGCGAGAACAGCAGAAGTACGAAGCAGCGGCTGCAGAGGCGAGCCAGTTATGCAAAGACCATGGCACACACAAGGGAGTAGGGGAAGAAGAAGAGAGAGTGGCAGGTAGCGTGAAGCCCGAAAACAAAGGGTGTAGCGGCCCCAACGAGCTGGAGGCCAGCTCGTACAAACCCGAGGAGGACAAAAAGAACCGCGGTGGCAACTTCACGTGCAGCACCTGCGAGAGGGAGTTCCTGTACGAGAAGAGCTTCCTGAAGCACATCCGGCACAGCCACGGCATCGCAGCCGAAATCATTTACCGCTGCGAGACCTGCGGCCAGACTTTTGCCAACCGCTGCAACCTCAAAAGCCACCAGCGCCATGTCCACAGCAGCGAGCGCCACTTCCCTTGCGAGCTCTGTGGTAAGAAGTTCAAGAGGAAGAAGGACGTCAAGAGGCACATGCTGCAGGTTCATGAGGGTGGTGGGGAGCGTCATCACTGCCTCCAGTGTGGAAAGGGGCTGAGCTCCAAAACGGCCCTCAGGCTCCATGAGAGGACGCACACTGGCGACAAGCCTTATGGGTGCACAGAGTGTGAGGCTAAGTTTTCTCAGCCCTCGGCACTTAAGACACACATGAGGTACGGACAGACTCAACCGGGGCCTTGCTAGTTAAAAAAAACAACAAAATCTCTGGGCAAAATAAAGTTACAGGAAAGGCAGAGTTCCCCAAGGCATCTTGCCAACCCTTCAAAAGTGGTCGAGGAGGGCTGGAGACTCCTGGTTTTGCAAAAATTTCTGTCGATTTCTGCCGGGGGGGGGGGGGGCTTGGGGGCAGAGGAGAGCGGTGCCGTCGTGCAAAAGGCAAGAAGCAAACAAGCAGGGAGAAGGTTGCCAGAAATGAGATCAACCAAACATACAAAGAGCAACCTTGAAAAGTGTGAACAAAATCTGGGG